TCCTGTTTACATGATGTGTTTTTTTTTTGCATGGTAGTTTTAACTGTGTGGGGTTTTTTCCTCAGTTTGGCAAATGTCTCATCATAATTGGCAATACATATGTACTTAGAAAATCCATAGTGATGTGGTTTAACGCAATAAAGAAAACACATCGTCATATCGCCCACAACCAGCGCTCTGTGCAGCTTTTTGACATTTGCGCTTTGTCGGGTCATTGCGGTCGGGTTTACCCAGCTGACGTGTGACCTGTTTGTCTCATCACACACCACAAGTTGGCAGAGGAGGGTGGATTTCTTTGTCCTCAAATGGTTTCTGAAAACTGCTTGATGTGTCACACTGTGGTTTCACTTAGACATACACACACGTTGTTGATATTACAGTATTTGTGAGGACTTCCATTGCCTGCCATAGGGTAGCTGAGTAATGCTATGCCCAGACTCAAACCTTAACTTTGGTTAATGAATAAAAAATGGTTTGGGTTCCTTTTTAAAAGGAGAAACAGCGAATTTGTTTTCCCATCATGAGAAATATGGTCCTTGCAAAGAGCTAAATACATACATGCGCACACACAGGTTTTCAGCATTAGCAGGCTAGTGAGTCATCCTCTGAGCCACACTTGGTGTGAGACCTCATTGAGATCACTTCCTGAATGAGAAAATGTTGTTTTGTGATTGGTTCTTGTCTTATTTTCACATTTTCAACCCCCACCCAAAACACTCAACACCAGACACTTTGTTTTTTGTTTTGTCATCTCCTCAGTCAGACAGCCAGACAGCCGTCAGACAGTTTAGTTTCAAAACTGTCTGAAACGCACAGAGAGGTGGCAAATTTAACTCTAGAATCTGCCCACTCGAGCACTTCTTACTCTACTTAAGAGTCATTCGAATTTGAATGTGTTCTGCTGTTTTGCTGGCTTTGTTTTTGCTCTCCAAAACAAGGTGCAAGGCAAACAGATTACCAGACCGTGGTGGTTCGTATGCAAAAATGACTCACAGCTGGAGTCTGAGAGCTTCTTTTAAGGAACATGAGGGTTCAGACTGGCAGGAAATCAGCTAGAGCCTTGGGTGATATTTATAAACACTCTTAAAGAGCCCTGTTGTAGCTCTATATGTCCAAAGGTTTTAAGTCACCAGTGTTTCTTCTGAAATGAAGGGTAATAATAGGGGGTTAATGTAGGAGTAGCCTCTACTCTCCTGGGAGGGCTTTATGTTGGAACATTGCTGTGAGGATTTGATTGAGCATTAGTGAGGTCAGGTACTGATGTTGGATGGTCAGTTCTGGATCACTCCAACTCATCCCAAAGGTATTGGATGGAGCTCCATCACTCCAGAGAGCACAGTTTCACTGCTCCACAGCCCAGTGCTGGGGTGCTTTGTACCTCTCTAACCCATCCATTGGGTATGGAAACCTTAGGCTGATCCAGAGTGTCCCATTTTCTATTTGGACATATACTGTTTAAAACTGACCAAGTTCCAAGTGTGCTTTTCGCAGATTAAGCCTAGTCTCAGACTTAATTGCAGTCTCCAAATTGGGATCTGGCCTAAAATGTTAAATATAAGCTTACAATGTTACAAATATTTGATTTTGAGGCAGATTTTCAAGTTATGCATGACGTAATTTAACTTCTGTATTTGCTTTGGACCATCCAGAAATGGAGCTAGAAGTATGTTTTATTTTGAACTGCCTGTTCCTATTAATTATTCCTATAAATTATTAAAATCACTATTTAAAGGCATTAAGTCATTAAAAACATTGTTTTTAATGAATCTGCATTGCTCATGTTTATAAGCCTGAATTTCTGTAAAAAGCTGCAAAATAAAAGTTTATCAGCGATGGCCTAATTTTGTGCTTCTTTTATTAGCTACTTATACTATTTGCTTTCAGTTAAGGCTGCTATAGTTAGCTATGCTAATGCTGAAGCTTAAGCCTCAAGGCCTTAAAGGCCACCGTGCGTGAAGGGGCGTGTTAATTTGTTGTGGTATATCCGGCTGAATTCTGTTTTGGTTTTCTTTAAGATATAAACCGAATAGTTGTTCATTTTTACTTGCTTATTTTTAAAAATGAGTTCATTTTGACCACATTCCAGCATGTCTGGCAAAAAACTCCCCCCTTAACGTGCTTGCAGACCACTGTCCTAGATCTGATCGCAGTTTCTCCAGTTAGGCAGCAGTTCCGGGAGTCTTTCTCTCTCTCTCTGTGAACGTGCCTTAGTTCCCAGGAATGTTGCTGTAAAAGAAAAAAAAAGATCCTGGTTGGAATGTAGCTAAATCCCTTTCTCAGGTAATCTGTTTTAGAGCTGTTCTGAGTAACTCTCAGCATTACGCAACGTTCGAAGCCTTTTACTTCCTACCTACGGAATACTTTTTAAAAAAAAATGAGTAAGCAGTCTCTCCGTGTCCTGTTTGGTGTTTTGCCAAAGTGGGGGGTTTAGTTTCTCTGTATGTCTGTATGTGTTGGCTGAACAGATTGTAGAGGGCAAAAGGCAGATTTTAGCCGTGCGAAAATGAGTCCAGTCTGTGTATATATGAGTGTCTAAAGCTTAAAGGGGAATGGCACCAGATTTTCAGAATTTTAGTACAATTCAGATGTTGAGATGTAAACAAAGTCCTTTAGAGTGGTTTGGTGTGAAATGATTGATTGTAGAGACTCTGATGTCTTTACGTTGGTGGTGATAGGAACCAGGGGCCGCCATGGCAACAACACAAATATAGCCATTTTCTTTACTATGCAAAACCACCAGTGAACCTACACAGGTATTTATTCTACCTTCGGTAAGTTTCTCTAGAACAGAGCATTTCACACCAAACTATTCTGAATGACTGTTTACATCTTAACTGTTTAATTATGCTGAGTGTTTTGTTACCATGCAGTTTATGCAGTTGCTATACATATTATTGCGATTGTTGTTGTCCTGTATTCTAGAAATACTGATTATACCCATCATATACTCAAAAAAAAGGGTATTGTGACATGATTTACCACAATACCTGTAACCTATATATGTATGTATGTGTATATATAAATGGCTGAGCCCTAATATTAACACGCCTAATGAGTCAGATGATAGTCCCCCCTGTTAAGAACAGTGTAATTTGCATTATGCTAACTGCAGGCTGTTAGTTTTCCCTGCTTATTACGGATGCTGAAGTTTATTTTAGATTGTATTTTAGATTGTAATGACGCAGTGTTTGACGTTGGAGGACGATGTGTCTGCAGCAGTTCTTTCTAAGAGCTCTAGAAACAGTCCGGTGTTTTTAACGAGAGCATCAAAGGAAAGGAACATGGATGGAGACTGAAATAGCCTTCACTCTGAATCACCTCCGCAGCATCCACAGCGCCGACTCGGAAGTCTTTGAAGAGCATAAAAGAACAGCTGTGTGTGTGTGTTGGGGGGTGTTAGGGAACTGCGGTGGGGGTTCCCCCCCCCCGTCTTTTTCTTCCTCTGCTCTTTTTCATGCTTGCTTTCTTTCTTCTTCTGTCTCATCTGTCCCTCTATTTTACACTCTTCTTTTTCTCACTCTCTTTTTCCCTTTTTTCTTTCTTTCCTTTCTCACTCTTTGTGTGTGTCATTGTATTAAAGCAGTAGCTGCGCAAAAAATTTAGTTTAAATTTAATCCCAAATATCGTTGAACAACCAAGACATGACTGAGGTTTGCTTCTGTAGTTTTACCACTGGAGCTACAGGCTAACAAGCCTCTATACGCTAATTAGCATAGTGCTAACTGCATGCCTACTGTGTGGGGTTGTTCAGTATCTCTACTAGTCTTGACTATGTGGTTTCTGATACTGAATGACTCACTGTCATCTATAAACATGGACTAAAATGTGTCACATGGCTGAAACACTAGCAGCCAAATTAAAGCCTGAACTCTGTCTGTGCTTTTTTCCATTGTTATAGGTAACAGTGTGTTATTAAGAACAGTATAATTAGCGTTATGGTAATTGCCTGTTTGTTTTCGTAGTAATTATGGATCTTAATTAAGATGGATTTGAAGAAGCAGGGTTTGAATCTAGTGGTAATGGGTGCCGGACTCCAGTCCTGTTTGATAACTGCATTGCAGATTTGAAGTATCTTCTGAACTCAAACTCACCTGCTTCATTAAGGATCAAAGCCTTCTTGAGCTGAATGAAGTGTGTTGTGAGTCTATTGAGGAAAACACTGTAGTGTGCAAAAGTGGAGCTGGGCTCTCTGGACTTAAGTGCTATTCAAACGGGATCAGCTTTACATGGGTGAGTGGGGTAATGTAATCTTACCATGGGATGTCTGTTATATTTATGATCAATTCACACTGGATCAGAAATCTATAAGTTGCAGAGATTGCAGGGACTACTCGAGTTAAACATTGAAGTGACCAATAAAGTTCTGTGCGTAATACGTTAAGCTGCTCACAGAAAGAAAACGTGGCCAAACAATTACTTTAACTGTAATTTTGTCTACCTTATTTAATTTATTTACCTTATTTAACTTATCTTGCGCTAATGTAGCTTGCATTAGCATTGCCCTTTTTTTTTCTTTTTTTTTAATTTATCATTTTTAATATTCAGTTGTATACATCAGAATGACTGTGTGGATCATATGAATATTATAGAGCACTGTTTAAATGAAACAATAGAAACAATATCGCCCCTACACTTCCTGTAGTGTATTACAGTCTGTCAGAATGACTGTGTGGATTATATGAACATTATAGAGTATTACAGGATGGTGACTTGGATTAAATTGCATGTCCTCATTCATGAGTCACTCCCTCTGGAGTTCGGTACCATCATTATTTTGCACTGAAATGTTCCTGGCTAACATGAAGGATCTAAACTGCTGCACATTTTATAGGTTGTACTGTTTGTATTGTTGAAAGTCTCAGATACTGTTGAATTTTGTGGTAACATTTTTAGGAGTGGTGCTTTTGGCCCAAGCTGTGTGGTGTGATTTATTTATTTATAAGGCTCAGGGAATGACAGCAGGTGCTCATCCTCTCTCTCTCTTTTTCTCTCTTTCACAGGGTCACCTGTCAGAAGGTCTGGTCACTAAGTGGTATCGTTCCCCTCGTCTCCTGCTCTCCCCCAATAACTACACTAAAGCCATTGACATGTGGGCAGCTGGCTGCATCTTTGCTGAAATGCTCACAGGGAAAACACTCTTTGCAGGTCAGACACTTTGTTTGTTTGTTTGCCTTTTGTTTATTTGTGTGTTTCCCAGTCTGATATCTCCAGCTGTGTCTCTTTCTAGGTTTTTCTCTACAGCGATTCTGGTCCTGAAGGCCAGAGTCCAGCACTAGCAGCGTAGACATTTTGACCTCACATTTCATGCTAATTTGATTTGATTCGGTCATTTCAGTATACTTAAAAAAAAATTGAATACACCAGTGTAACTGGAGGAGATATTTACACAGTAGTGGAATATAGTCAGTAAAGACAGTACATCATTTTCAGCACTTGAAAAGGGGTGTATTTTTATCAAAGCCAATCCAGTATTTGAGTTTTTAAATGCCAATCTAAGTGCATACTTTATTGATTACTATTTTAATCAATTCTGACATTCCCACTTTAGAGGCAGTTCAAATGCCACCTGTCCAACTCAGATAATTACCACTGTAGGTGTATTTGAACAGGGAAAGCAGCCAGTTCTGCTGGACTCTGACCTTCCTGGGCATCATTTTGAGCTTCCCTGACATACACCTATCTTTATCTGGGTGCTTCACTCTCTCTACCTCTGTCTCTCTGCATATATACTCAAGTAAAATAAAGTAATCTAGGCCAGGCTGATATTTTCCCCTCTGTCTGGAAGGAAAGCTTTTTCCTTATGCAAGTTTTAAGGTGAACTCTAAACTGAGACTGAATGGAAAGTAGGTCAGAACTGTTTTTGCCTTAAACGTTCCAGCATGTAAACTTTGAATGCTGGTTAAAGAGGATCTGCTTTCTGTGTGTGGTATGGTTGGAGCAGTGTCTCAAGCTCTGAGATCATTCTTCATAGGCCCCAGGGTGCAACAGCAATGTTCTACACAAGTAGAGAAAATGATTAGTTCATGAGGTTCATTTAGCCTTTGTAGAGTTTTTTAAGCCTCTTTAAATTGCATTATTATTCAGTAACTGTGGTAACTAAAAACCTCTGTAACATAGTTATGCGTGTGAGGAACTGAAAGGGTCCTTGCAGTTCAAGAGGTTTAAATGTTTGTGTGCTTGTGTGTAGGTGCTCATGAGCTGGAACAGATGCAGTTGATCCTGGAGTCCATTCCTGTGATCCATGAGGAGGACCGACAGGAGTTGCAGAGCGTTATCCCCGTATTCATCAAGAATGACATGTCTGTACCCCACACACCGCTGGCCAAACTGCTGCCAGGGGTCAGTGCTGAGGGTCAGTATCATGCATGCGCACATATTGGTTATAACCTTTTTTTTTTTTCCTCATTCAGTAACTTCGGAAAGTTCCCTGGCCAAAAAAATGAGTCACATGCATCATCTCTTTCTCTCAAACTGAGGATTACGCCAGTCTTTTGAGAGACTTCCTGTCTATTTTAGTCCACTCATCCATAAACTTTGTATTTAATGTCTGAGGAGAGCACAGTATTCGCACTCCAATGCTCCAGGATGACGACAGTAGGGTGTCTGGTTTGACAGACATGATGGAGCACTTGGGCAATTTGACTGGCCAGCAGAATCACCAGACCTCTGTGGCTAGAAATGACAGGAATTCAAGTTAAATCCAAACCTGATAGGGCTCATGATGTTATTAAGGCAGGAGGACACGTAACCAAACTTTAGAAAGAAAGAGATGCATGCAACCAATTTTTTTGAGTAGCTATGAAATTAATGTGCAAGTCTGAAGAGCCACCAGTTAGCAGTGTGCAAATGACATCATGCTAATTGGTGATGTCCATTCATTGTTACCCACGTTTGCTTGTTTGATCCAGCTATTCCTTTAACCCCTTAATGCTGATACAAAGTGTTTAATATCCTTTAATAACATGATTTCTCAACACTATAAGCCTCATTTTGATGCATAAAATCATGATCTAAGACAGGGTTGCCTAATCCTGGTCCTAGAGATCTGGCAGAGTTTTAACACATCTTAACACATCTGATCCAGGTAGTGAAGGCCTTCATGAGTATATCAGAATACCTGAGCCAGGTGTGTTGGAGCTGAACTCTCCAGGGTGGCACACCCCTGATCTAAGAAAATTTGTAGATTTTTGATCTATTAAACAAAATCTATTAAACGTAGGAAAATGCCTTTGCCTTAGTTTCTGGTCATGTTTCCGATGACACAGGAAAATGACCCAACAGTGTTCAGTACCAGTAGAAAGTAGCACCACAAAGATGGCAAAATGGACCCCCATGAAGAACCCAAACTCATCATCTGCCTTTCCCTCTCATTTTAACAGCTCTGGATTTCCTGGAGAAGATCCTGACCTTTAACCCCATGGATCGGCTGACGGCAGAGGAGGCCCTGGCACACCCTTACATGAGCGACTACTCATTTCCTCTGGACGAGCCTGTGTCCTCTCATCCTTTCCACATTGAGGACGAGGTGGACGACATCCTGCTTATGGACGAGAGCCACAGCCACGTCTACAACTGGGACAGGTCAGACATTCAGCCCTGCAGCCTTGCCTGCAGAGCTCATTGGTTGCATAAGAACGCATTAATTAAGCATTTGTTTTAGCCTGCATATGGCTGTCTTATTGATTTGAGGTCATCTGGCTGAAGAAGTGAATGAATGTAAACCACCACTCTTTTGCAATCGGAACAAGGCTGTCAATTACCTGATAACTCCCAGCGTTAAAGGTAGCTTACATCTTAAAGCCATTCGAGGTTCTCAGTTCTGGTCTTGGAGAACCTCTGTCAGGCAAATTTTGTTTTTTTTCCCTGTTCTTCCAACACGTCTTCCAGCTAATCAGCTGATTAACCAGCCTTTCTTGAGCTGTAATGTAAAATGTTCATTGCTGGTGTACTGCAAGATTTGGAACCACTTGAATTTTACAAAGATTTCTCAGTAAACTGGCTAATTTAAGACGAAAGTGACAGTTATCCAATAGGAACGCACCTTACCTCCTCTCCTATTGGACTGGCTTGACTCTTCTACTTGAAGATAATCTTCCCACAGCATTGTTAACATTCTATTGTTCCTCTCCTGTAGGTACCATGACAGCCAGCTATCGGAGCCAGACTGGCACCTACACAGCACAGTGGAGGCAGAGGAGGTCCAGCGCGACCCCCGCGCCCTCTCGGATGTCACAGACGACGAAGAGGTGCAGGTGGACCCACGCAAGTACGCGGACGCCGACAGCGAAAAGTTCCTGGATGACCCAGCGGCCTTCGACTTCCCTCCGGAGCGCTCGTGGCCTCAGTACGATGACCATCACGAGAACAAATACTGCGATCTGGAGTGCAGCCACACCTGCAACTACAAGGCAGTCTCTCCATCCTATCTGGACAACCTGATCTGGCGGGAGAGTGAGGTGAACCACTATTATGAGCCCAAGCTTATCATAGATCTGTCCAACTGGAAGGAGCAACAAAGCAAAGAGAAAGGAGACAAGAAGAGCAAGAGTAAGTGTGAGAAAAACGGCTTGGTCAAAGCTCAGATCGCTCTGCAGGAGGCCAGCCACAACCACGGCCTCAGCCAGAGCCCGCCGGAGAAGGACCGCGAGCAGGAGAAACATCAAAACCAAGGCTTCGATTTCGACTCCTTCATAGCCGGCACCATCAGGCTAAGCCTTCAGCCCGAGCCCAGTCAGGTAGGCCTCTTGAATGAGCTCAACACTTCTGTGTCCCAGCTGTCCAAATCCGTCAGTCAGGAAAAGGACGAGAAGTGCCAGGTGAACCTGGCTCAGCAGGGCGGCCGCCCGCCATGCCCTTGGGACAGCTACGGAAGTCCAGGGCCGGATGAAAGTTACTGCCTAATCGATGAAGCGTGCTGGGACGCCCAAAAAGAAGGCAATGTCGGAGGAGGTGGTGGATATACCAGCTACTTAGACCGCCTCTTCAGCAAGCGGGACGAAAGCGCAATGATCACGCCTCCTGAATCGCCCGAAGATTTCTCCCCCGGTGCAGAAATCCCACTCTCCTGCACCCAAGAGGAAACCGCACCTGGTTTTCTCGCCCGAAACGGAGAAATCGTTCTTGAGACGCTGGCCATCCCTGGCGATCTACCGCTGAAGTCGCTGCAGGCCACGCTCACGCCCACCACTCATGTAAAATGCTCCCCACAAATCGCCCACAAAACCTACAGCAGCATTTTGAAACATCTGAATTGAGCAAGTCCATTTTATTAATATTAATATTGAAATAATAAAGTGGTCATCGGAAATCCCTCCCGCCCCTTCCAAAAATGCCACCTGTGGCAAGTCAAGCAGGATCTCTTATTTTTTACATGGTTAGTGCATTATTTTCCCTGAATTATTTTGTAACTTTTACTGTATGGTTACTTTTTATGATTTCTCTTTTTTTTTTTTGGTAATTGTATGTATGATGATGATGATGATTATGATTATTATTATTATTATTATTATTATTATTATTATTATGAGTAAAGCTCATGACCTAAGAGTGGCACTCTGTGTCTGTTGACACTTCTTGGCCCCCTCCCATGCTTAATTTTCAAAACTGTTCTATTTAAATAAAGACAAACAGGAAAAGAAATAATTATACTTAATAAAAAAAAACTGGCATGCCATTTGCACACGGCGTACTGTAGATTCATATATAGAGGAAAAAGACAAGAAAGGCTTATAAGGAACACAATAAAGAGAGAACAGGGGTATTTAATGCAAGCAGAGAGAAAGTGAGGGAGGAAGAATGCACTAAACGTGAGGGAGACGTTGTCACTGACATTTCTGTCTTTCTGGCCAAGAAACGAAAAAACGTGGCCTTCCAGCTGACCCGCCTAGAGGACAGAAACAAAACAAGCTGTTTTCCGTCTCTTCTGATTATCGTTATTTTTAATTTTTTATGCTTAACATATCTAACATATTTATGTGAGTATTCCTTTTCTTCCCTCCTTTTTCGGAAACCACAAGGTCACCGCCCCCCTCGAGGTGACCCGAACATACTGTAAACGTTTGTGTTGAGTTTATCGCGATGCCAGCAGAGCAGCCGTTTTAAAATGTAGGTTCGTAAAAACGTGTTATCTACCTCAAAAGGTAACAGCAGATGGAGCGTATTGGAGCTGTAGTGCTTTACGCAAGACATTCACCCTGTAACACCATTCAGTGCGCAGTGACTGGGCGTTTTTCTTTCGTTTCTTTTTTAGAAAAATAAATTTTGCATTTGCCATAGTGAAGTGTTAAGATCATTTATTTATTTTTAAGCAGATGTGAGATATTTATTTTAACCATTGTAATTTTCAATGTGACTGGCGACTGAGGCATTGAACTTCCATCCTTTCGTTTTTCAGCACTGTGCGAGTTCGTGTGACTGTATATATGACCGTGTGACTGTATGAGCGCCTGTGTGAGTGAGTGTACGGCTGGAGGCTACTCATCCTTTTTACATTGTAAAGATGCTCTCCATTTCCAGCATTAGTTACTTTTGAGGAAATCATTCTCGTTCTGTTTGTTTTTCCTGTAGGTGCTCTGTGTGAGAGGAAATTTGGCTTTATCTGATGCACCTAAAAGTCTTAATTTGTTTTTCTTTTTTATATAAATGTATTATTAGAATTGTGTGCATGGAAGAAAAACTATGGAAGGTACATTTAAAACGAAGTGTATGGTGAAGTCTATTCATTATTAATTTTTATTTTAATTGTATGTTTTTAGTATTGTGTTTTATCTTCCCCTTCCCAAATGAGCATGATTGAAATAGGTTCAGCATGTAGAAGATCTAAGGAGTACTTCCTTTAATTTTTATTTTTATTTTGAGTTTACTCAGTTCTGTTATCATTGGTTCCCCTGTAAGATACTATTAATAAAATGGCCAGCAAAATATACACCTGTTTTGTTGCTTTTGTCTTTTTTGAAATCGCCTTTTGTTGAATTCTAGTTCTAACATTTTCAAAATGAGAAGAATTTCTGAAGTTTAATTGAATTTCAGGTTTGCCTGGTTCAGTTACACTTTCAGCTGAGAGCTGCCTTAATCAGGGTCTATGGTCATAAAGAAATAAAGGTTCTGTGCTGGTACATTTTTCCTTCATCAAGGTACAAACAATGTAAATGTTCCCTCAAAGGAATTTTTGTACCTTTTCATAACCAAATGTTTTAAAACAGAACAGTAAAATAAACAGCCTGGAGACGAGACGGGGTGTGTGGAGTCAGTACAACTTAGAACATATTTCAATAGATTATGGTACAGATATGTTCCCTGATTAAAGGTGCTGAGATGGACCCTTGAAGTGAATTTTGGTCTAAAGTTTGCCCTTCTACCTTAACTGAGCTCCATAAAATATCTTGAGAAATGTTTGTTAGTTTGTCTAAACTGAACTTTTGTCTGCATTTTTTTTCATTCACAGTACTAAATTAGGTTGATTTAAACTGTTATATTGGGGGGAAAGCACCCAGTAATCCCACCTAAATCTAAAGTGAACAAACTTTCATATGAATTTTTCAATTCTTTGTGATTTAATGAAAGATTAATCCAGAAGTTTCTGTTTAATTTTGAAGATAGTAAAAATAACAGAAGAGATGAAAAGTCTGGACTTGGCTTAAGTGGACATCTTTTAAGCCCACTTGTTTTCCTAATAAGTGCACACACCCACAGATGTATCCTGATGATACTGAAGATTCAACTACATTTCTTCTGAAATATTACATATTATATTGATTATATGTTGAGAAGTCATGTGTTCATTCTTTTGGCCGAAATAACTTTCTTGATGCATTCAATGTTGGTGAGGTCACAGACACACCAATTGGGCATAACATTCTTGTTTCTATACTCATCGTCCATTTTATCAGCTCCACTTACTATATAGGTGCACTTTGTAGTTCTACAGTTACAGACTGTAGTCCATCTGTTTCTCTGCATACTGTGTTAGCCCCCTTTTACCCTGTTCTTCAGTGGTCAGGACCCCCACAGACCCTCACCTTTGGGTGGTGGATCATTCTCAGCACTGCAGTAACACTGACGTGGTGGTGGTGTGTTAGTGTCTGTTGTGCTGGTCTGAATGGATCAGACACAGCAGTGCTGCTGGAGTTTTTAAACACCTCAGTGTCACTGCTGGACCGAGAATAGTCCACCAACCAAAAATATCCAGCCAACAGCGTCCTGTGGGCAGCGTCCTGTGACCACTGATGAAGGTCTAGAGGACGACCAACACAGACTGTGCAGCAGCAGATGAGCTATCGTCTCTGACTTTACATCTACAAGGTGGACTGACAAGGTAGGCGTGTCCAATAGAGTGGACGGTGAGTGGACACAGTGTTTAAAAACTCCAGCAGCACTGCTGTGTCTGATCCACTCGTACCAGCACAACACACACTAACACACCACCACCACGTCAGTGTTACTGCAGTGCTGAGAATGATCCACCACCCAAATAGTACCTGCTCTGTGAGGGTCTATGGGGGTCCTGACCACTGAAGAACAGGGTAAAAGGGGGCTAACACAGTATGCAGAGAAACAGATGGACTACAGTCTGTAACTGCAGAACTACAAAGTGCACCTATATAGTAAGTGGAGCTGATAAAATGGACAATGAGTGTAGAAACACTGTGGTGCACTGGATTTAGCGCAGCGTGTGAAATGAACTCCTTGGATTCATAGTTTTTGCTAGTATTTTTAAAATAGGGCATCATTTTGTCTTCTGATTTATCTGATGTCAGAAAAAATAAATACTGTGACGCACTGTGTACCGTAAAAAACATACTTAAGTATCACAATATTTCATTTTTCCATATCGCCTACCTCTACTGAACAGTGTGGAATTTTCTCTGTAATTTATCTGAAGCGCCAGTAGAAGTGCTTTAACAGAGTGGACGAGGTCAGCTCACCAAACTCATTCACCTCAAAACTGGGCCATCGTCAGCACAAAGCTGCACAATGGCCAGTCCTTTAGGTGTGCTGTCGCAGAACACAAATACATGAACTGGTGTTTATTTCAGAGCCATTGATTTTATCCCTCTTTGTCCCTATAAGCTGAGTGCCATTGTGCCCCGCTTTGTGTGCTCAGTAGGGTTGTGTTTCAGGAAAAGAGCGACAGAAGAAAAGAGAAAGAAAAATGTCAGCAGTGCTGGGATTGAGACGTGTGTGGAACAGAACAGAACAAATCTGACTCATTATTCACACGCAAATGACTCATTTACTCCAGAGACTCATCATATTTCATATTATATGAAAAGCAAAACTGGTCACTCTCTATGGAGCTGTTAAAGTGATAGTTTGGCAGAAAATGTGCAAAATTACATTATAATTATAGTTTTAGCACAGGCACTATGAGTCTAATGTAGCTACTAAGTAATGAAAGTCTATACTTCACGAGTTAGCATGGGGCTAACTGCATGCCTGCATGCTTAAGTAGTCTGCAGTTGACTTGATTATGTGGTTTCTGACATTGCATGACACACTGTTATCTGTACACAGGGCCATTTTCATTTTTACCTCTAAGCCAAATGACCTTCGTCCCTTAAATAACAAACAAGAAGGCCTACCATCCGTTCCGGTACCATTTTTAGCTAACACAAGTGTCAACTCAAGCAGCAGAAATCATTGCAACCTGACGCATTTCCCTTTTCAAACCTGAAAACAATAACAGACAAAGCTATTAATAAACCACAGCAATAATACTTCAAAACAGTAGACAAAGCAGTTATTCACAAAATGTATGCGAATTATGTTCAGACATCTCATTACCATTAGTGCTTGTGTGGTTAGCTGATTAGCTCACTGTGGCTAACGTAGCCTTTAGGAGAAAAGTTTCAATAATTGCTTTTAAGAATAGTTAGAAGAAGAAAACTGTCATATCACTATTTAAACCTCCTCTTCACACCAAGGAAGATACGTTCCTGCTAGTCAAACCAGTCTGCTAGCATGGCTAGTCTCCAGGAAAACCAGCATATGTTGTCCTTTGGCTCCTGATATGCTGGTCAGCCATATGTCCATGCTAGGTGACCAGCTAAACCAGCACTGGACCAGCATAAACCAATCAGTTTTTTTCAGCAGGGTTTGAAGAATACGAGTGTTGAAGTATGCTCAAAGGATTAGCACATAGCTGCTGTATACTACCTATAACTACTTTAAGCATAAAGCACTGCTTGATGCATTCAGCATATGTAATAATTATGTGCTCTGAATAGTTTTGTATTTCTGTTTCTATTGGTTTATTCATCAAAATTTTCAAATAGTGAAAAAATAGTTTGTCACACAATCATATTTCTAAAAAAAATGGAAACGAAGTCAGATAAAATGTTTTACCTTTAATATACATTAGTGTAATGTAATTTTGGATAATTTCTATTGGTCTAATATTCCTAATAAAATGTTCAGACAATGTAAGGAATGAAAAATAAATAAGTGAGTCAATCACAAAGTTTTGGCATAGAAGTGATGATATATAAAGAGCACATATAAAGCGGTTACACCAGCAGGTAATCTAATGACGGCCTGACCCTGCCAGGTGGAATCCAGGTCAGTGTCCTTTAACAGGAAGCAGGTCAGAATAAAAAGCAGAGGATGATCCTCCGAGTTTCTGCAAATTCACTCCAGGCCTCATTAGCGGCGTGGATTTGGCAACCACAGCAACCATGCGAGAGTTTTCCACTTACGTTCTTCCGGGAAAGGAGTGATGAGGCTGAGAGACGACCTGCTGTTCAGGACGAGGGAAAGAAAACGAAGTGGAAATGAAAATATTTAAATGTTGATCTTTGACTAAAATATAGAGCAGCAAGATCTTAATTTAAGGAATGCTTAGCTGCTCACCCTGCTAGAAAAAC